CCGGAATCGCAGGGCCGTAGGTTCAATTCCTACCAGAGGACCTTGTGCTACATTTTTCGCAGTCGTTCCTGGTTAGCTCTTAAAATGTATATATTCTCACTTGGATTACAAAGTTAACCCTAACATTCTAATATTAATTCCAACAAGTGAAGTGCAAGAATCCAAATTATTGAAGTCCACCTTATCACAACCCGCACACTCAATTACCTAAATATACATGAACTTACGGTTAAAGCTCAACAGCTGGCCTCTGTAGCTCAGTTGGTTAGAGCGCTGCACCGGAATCGCGGGGCCGTAGGTTCAATTCCTACCAGAGGACCTTGTGCTGCATTTTTGCAGTCGTTCCTGATTAGGTCTTAAAATATATATATTCTCACTTGGTTTACAAACCCTAACATTCTAATATTAATTCCAACAAGTGAAGTGCAAGAATCCAAATTATTGAAGTCCACCTTATCACAACCCGCACACCCGATTACCTAAATATACATGAACTTACGGTTAAATCTCAACAGCTGGCCTCTGTAGCTCAGTTGGTTAGAGCGCTGCACCGGAATCGCAGGGCCGTAGGTTCAATTCCTATCAGAAGACCTTTTGCTGCATTTTTTGCATTCGTTTCTGGTTAGGTCTTAAAATGGATATATTCTCATTAATTGAATATGATCGCTTAATAATTGACGCAAGAGAGAAAGCTGAAATTGTTAATGAATATTTTAGCACACAGTGTAGATTGGAAAATAACGATTCTCCGCTACCTAATTTAATTACTTTTCAAAATAAAAGAAAGTTGTCAGATATTTCCACATGCGAACGGGAGGTAAAAATTTTACTTAATAGTGTTGATGTTTCTAAAGCTTGTGGTGTTGATGGTGTGGGTAATTTTTTAATTAAAGTCAGTGCAAATGGTATTGCCGACTCTTTTTCTAGGTTTATAAGTATCTCTCTTTCTAGGGGAATTTTTCAGGAAGTTGGCAAATGTAATACCTATTTTTAAAAAAGATGACCGCCAGTCAAAATTGAATTATCGACCAGTTTCACGATTGATATCATTATCAAAAATTATGGAAAAATAGTTTTTACTAGGCTCTATAATTTTCTACTAGAAATTCATTTTTTGAACCGTTTTCAAAGCAGGTTTCCCCGGGTGATTCAACAGTAAATCAACTTATTTCAATTGTTCATAAAATATATGAAGCATTAGAATCAGGTAAAGAAGTTCGTATTGTCTTTTTGGATATCGGTAAAGCCTTCGACAAGGTTTGTCTTAGAGGACTTATTTATAAGCTTGAGCTACTTGCTGTAGAGGACCCCCTTTTAAAATGGCTAAAAAGTTATTTGTTTGGAAGAAAACAAAGGGTCATAATTGATGGCCAGTCATCTGATTGGAATGAAATCGAGGCTGGTGTTCCACAAGGTTCTGTATTAGGCCCATTTTTTTTTTAATCTATATAAATAATATTACTCAGGATCTTCAATATGACACTTTTCTTTATGCTGATGATACTTCTCTTCTATAAGTAGTTGAATATATAGATATTTCTGCGGAAAGACTTAACAATGATTTGCAATGCATTAATGAATGCACACGTGACTGGCATATATGTTACTATAAATCCAGGTAAAACCAAATCTGTCACATTTTCAACTAAAATGTTTAAACCAGCACATCCAACGTTATACTTTGCAAACGAGCCGATTGAAATTGTTAGTAATCATAAGCATTTAGTGGTTACCCTATCTTCAAATCTTTCTTGGAGAGCACATATACTCAATATTTATGATAAAGCTTCAAAAAAACTTAAGATGGCTTCTCAGTAAATATCAAACAAGTCTGGCCAATCTTCAAAATCGTTTTAGCTCATATTTCCAGGAATGATAGGCCTAAGTATCCCAAGAATTGCTGTGTAGTTAATTTGATCAAATATTGCTTTTTAGAGGAGAAATGCTAATTTTTAGCCCCTACAATTGACTGCACTTTATTATTATTATTATTATTATTATTATTATTATTATTATTGTTATTGTTATTATTATTATTATTATTATTATTATTATTATTATTATTATTATTATTATTATTATTATTATTATTGTTATTGTTATTGTTATTGTTATTGTTATTGTTATTGTTATTGTTATTGTTATTGTTATTGTTATTATTTATATTATTATTTGGTGAAGTGCATCATAATCTCATTCAATCTGTCCTCGATTATCATCACATTCCCGAACAGATTAATGAAATTATCAAGAGCTTGTATACTGACTTCAACACCACAATTACAACTGCCGAATTCTCTACCCCATTCATAACTGTTGGCCGAGGTGTACTTCAAGGAGACTGTCTTAGTCCTTTACTTTTCAATATGTGTTTCAACACCTTTATTCAGCACATTAAAGCTGATAAATACCGCCAATTTGGTTTCATGACCAAAGTTTTAAATCCAATCCATTGGTTCCAGTTTGCTGACGATGCAGCCGTTATTAGCGGTCAAGAGAGCAAAAATCAGCACCTTTTAAATCGCTTCTCAATCTGGGGTCAATGGTCAAACATGATTACTCGAGTCGACAAATGTAGTACATTTGGCATTAAGAAAAGTCTGACAAAATCAATCCAATACCTACCGAGACTCCTCATTGACAATAAATTAATACCGGCCACCAAAATAGGAGAGTCTTTCCGATACTTAGGGAAATATTTTGATTTCAATATGTCTGACAAAGATCACAAACAAGAACTAATCACCCTCCTTGAAGATATCATGTCAGAAATTGACCTCAAACCGCTACACCCAAAGAACAAAATTTTACTCTATAGTCGTTATCTCCTATCGAAATTCTCCTGGCATTTTACTGTCGCTACCTTATCAAAAACGTGGGTTTCTGAAAACATGGACTCAGTAGTTAATAAATTCGTACGGAAATGGCTTGAAATACCCGTATCTGGAACTTTAAGTAATGTCTTTCTAACAAGTAATAAATTTGGACTAAATATATACCCTCCATCCGTCAAGTTCACTCAGTGCCAAACAGTCTCTCGGAAAGCCTTAAAAACCTCTCCAAATGATTGTATAAGAAATTTATGGAAATCAACTTGCGACAATACTAACATACAGTACGACGTCTACACCTCAACAAAGGAAGTTCTTAAAAGTTTCAAATCTGCACAAGAGGACAAGCTTCAAAATCATCTGCTTCTCCAAGGCTCCTTTTTCTCTAACACCACCAAGTTCTCGTTGTCTACACTAAACAACCTATGGTCCAAATCTCAATCCAGCTTGCCAAAAAGCATCTATAACTTCACCATCCGTTACATCAACAACACTCTTCCCACACGCAAGAACCTCACAAAATGGGGAATAATGTCAAACTCGGATTGTTCCCTCTGCCTGAACCCTGAAACTCTTCTGCACGTAGTCGCGGGATGCCAGTCATACCTTCCACGATTTACTTGGAGACATGACTCCATTCTCAATTTTGTCGCAAAAATATTCCAACCTGAACACAACTCCACGCTGTTTGTTGTTCTTCCTGGATACAAGAGCCCATCAATAATAACCGGTGACACTTATCGCCCAGATCTGCTTCTTTCGATTTCAAATAATTGTCTGTACATACTCGTACTCTCTGTCGGATATGAATCCAATCTCCAAAACAACGTCGATCGCAAAAGGGAAAGATACAAGGATCTATTTACGCAGCAGAAAGACCATTTCAAAACTGTCAAATTTATTAATTTGTCTATTAGTGCCATAGGTGTTTTCTCAAAAGAATGTAGCACGTTTATGAAAATGTTGAACGAAGTTGGTCTTGATAAAAAACATCAGAACTTTTGTGTTAAGAAAATAATGTCCATCGCCATCAGAACAACGTACTATATATTTTGTTGTAGAAACAAGGATTGGACCGATCCGGACTTGATGAATATTTAAGAATGAGCTTTCTCTTAGTTTTATACCTGTAATATAGTTTTATCAATAATTAATAGTTCAAGTAGTCAATTATAAATTACCTTATTATACATTTAATATGTATTCTCGTTTCTAATTGGTCAGAAAGCACCGGCTAATTTTCAGTATTCGGCATTTATTACGTATTTTCCGCCGATGACGTCATCAGCGTCCAATAATTGTTTTTTTGGATCGAACTTGCATCCAAAAAAAAATTATTGGACTCTCTCGTGCCCAAACCCTTGCGCGGCCAAAAGCTTGAACCTATAAGCGGGGGAAAAAAAACAATGGCCGACAGTAGATTTGGTACGCTGAATGAAAGTGAACTCTCCAAATTATTGGCAGATAAGGATAGTGAAAGCACGAAAAAAGCCACGAAGGGGTAAATAGAAGTAGAAATATAATATTTAGCTGACCTTTGACTTTGTGCAAGGTATTTGATATTCAAATTGTACTTTTCCTACCTCATGAACAGGAATCGTTTTACACGTTTCTCATGTCCTTAAATGTATAATAAAACAATTCTTGGATTCTGCTTTCGCATGATATCAAGAATTATTCAGACCTCGGTCTATGTTATCCGCCTCAGCTTCGCTTCGGCAGATAACATTGACCTCGGTCTGAATAATTCTTGATATCATGCTCAGCCTCATCCAATAATTGCTCATTAATTAGTGAGATTTATAATTGTATATACATAAAATGTCAAAATATACATTCTAGAATTAACTGTTGGATTCGAAACAAACCTGAAAACTAACTCAGATCGAAAACATGAAAAATATTTGACTCTAATTACCGATCAGGAAAATATATATGATGAAGTTAAGTTTGTTAATGTATCTATAAGCTCTTTAGGTGTATTTGGTGAATCGACGAATACTTTATTTGATATGCTCCATGATCTGAAGTACGACGAACAACGTATTAAATATGTAAAAAAGAACGGTGGGTTGTTTCGTAAATATAATCCAGAAGTTCGTGAATAATAATATTTTAAGTGATTGCGATTGGAGAGTTAAAAATTTGAGATGCAATAACAAACCGGTACTTGATGAGAATAACTTATTTTGTCAACAAAACGAGCAAATTGAGGCATTTTGGCAATTGCTTGTCAAAATCAAGTAATAATGGCTTCCAATACACTATTTTAAATTCACTTGCTGACTTCAAATGCGTTATAATACCGGCTGAAGCGTGTTTTAGCTTGCCGTCAACTTGCTAATTTATAGCAGTTTACATTACGGCCCGATTCGATGGTGCTCGTTCGGACGATGCATGGACGTAAGGTTGTTTATATAATAACTACAATGAAACACGCAATTTGATTGGTCAACAGCCGTGCAGGATCAGACAATCCTGCACGGGAAATTCTGAACAGAAATTCTTGCACATAATTTTACAAATATACTCGCATTGTAAAGTTTCATTGTACGATACCTTTCGACTTTGAAGTAAGTTTCCAATTATTGAGACGTTGGTTTAGTTGTATGAATAAATTTCTGATCGATACATTGCTATTCAGCAAGTAGCAACGCGTAGCGTTGAAATTCATCAGACCATGGCATTTGCGTACAACATCTCTCGCTTCAAAGTTGATCAAACGCTTCGCAATCTTCACATATTCAGGTCGAGAATCTTCAAAACTACTTTGGCTCTCTGTTTAGCGGGTTTTCCATTTCAAATTTCGTATATTTTATCGAAAAAGTCCGTGTATTTTCGCTGTATATTTTCGCGAATTTGGGATCAAATTCTGTTCACATATATTGTTGTTTTCAATAGCGTGGAGTAGCGATTCTCTGATTGGTTAATTCACGAATGTTGTGAGAACTGCACATTTCATCAGTAATTTTAATCAAGTTAAGCGTCGTTTCACTGTAGTAATTTTATAAAACAATTACCAAATGGTTTTTCCGTGCAGGATAGCATGATCCATGCACTTGGGATGTTGCTCAACTTTCGGAAGGCGTAAAAATACACTCGCCTACGGCTCGTGTGTTTTTACGCTTTCCGAAAGTCTCGTAATATCCCGCGTGCATGGATCACGCAATCCTGCACGGAAAACCATTCGGTATTCCTTTATTTGATGATTTCTGGAAACAATTTAGGATTTTGAAATAAATAAAACAACCTAATCTCTTTTAGAATGTTTTTAACAAGTTCTTACTAGTTTTTCCGATGTGGCAACAAGAACATTAAAGTTTGAACAAAGAAAATTCAAACATTGCAACCGACTATGCAATAACACAGTAAATTTGTATAATTAAGCGGCATCTAAACATGATAGGTTTTACTAAATTTTCTCCTGTGCAGTTATTACTTGCACTAAAGACACGGATGACCATTTGTTCGAAAGATAAATGAACAGGCTTTAAAATAAGCCTAAAACCGTTTTATTAGAAGTAGCAGTCCGAACGTTATTAATAAGCACAAAATTTGGACTCCGTTTTTTTTATACACCCTGTATATACAGGGTGTATCAGAAAAAACTGAACAGATTTGAAATTGCTCTCAATTTTGCAAAACACCTATTTGTATCCGGTTTTTTATATATATATAGCTTCTTTGGGTACTTAAAATGTAGAATAATGAAAAAAATTTCTTGAACTCAAATTTTGTGAACCAGGGGGGTGTGTCTTTTCCAACAAACTAAAAATGGCTCGCGCACAACATTTAAAAGTTGTAATCATGTTTTGAGTTAATAGATGGAAAATTTGTCGGGTTTTTAATTACTGTACAAAATTTCAGACAATTTGATTTAGTTTAAGTCCTTTAACTATTCACGCAAAGTTACATTTTTCCTAAAAATCAGCTTTTCGCATGCTTAATTAATGCATTCGCCTAATTTGCATATATCAGCAATATGCAAATTAGGTAAAGGCATTAATTGAGCATGCGAAAAGCCGATTTTTTAGAATAAAATAAATAGTTAAAGGCTTAAACTAAACCAAATTGTCTGAAATTTTGTACAGTAATTAAAAACCCGACAAAGTTTCCATCTATACACTCAAAATATGATTACATCTTTTAAATTTTGTGCGCGAGCCATTTTTATTTTGTTGGAAAAGACACACCCTCCTGGTCCACAAATTTTTTTCATTATTCTACATTATAAGTACCCAAAGAAGCTATATATATAAAAAACCGGATACAAATAGGTGTTTTGCGAAATTGAGAGCAATTTCAAATCTGTTCAGTTTTTTTTATACACCCTGTATATTTTAGCTAGTTTTATATTCAATTCAAGTGGACATCGATAAGCTACCTTTTATTAAGTGAGGTTTATCAATGTATATATAGTATATCGTAAATATCTAATAAAAATTTTCCATTATTATTATTATTATATCATGTAGTCAACTGTAAATTACCTAAGTCAGCAGTGAGATTTGCAATTGTATATATACGTAAAAAATTCAATAAAGTTTTCATTATTATTATTATTATTATTATTATTATTATTATTATTATTATTATTATTATTATTATTATTATTATTATTATTATTATTATTATTATTATTATTATTATTATACATTGTAGTTGGTAAAAGCAATTTGATTGGCTAAGAGCTTACAGTTAAATCGCGCAATCACGCAACCTACAGAAAATTCAGTTATCTGCTAGCAGATAAATCAGTTATCTGCAAATGAGCCTGCGATGATTAGCAAGCGGTATCTATTTACAGTCAAAATACAAGAACCTTCCCACTTCCGCTGCTGTAACTTGTTTTGTATTTCTGTAATTTGTTCTATTTTCTGTAGCGATTTTTATCGGCAAATATCGCGGTAGAATTCCCCTTTCTTTCCTTTATATACGTCAATTTGTAGCAAAGGATACACCTTTCGTTAGATTCTTTGCATAAAAGTTGCGAAATTTTCATTTTAGTACGTCAAATGATTGTAGTCGCGAATTTTAAATTTGTATAGTATGGACACACTTGGCGGCGGTTTAAAACCGATTTATCAGCAAATATCACTATAAGATCTAAGTTTCGCAACTTTTCTGCAAAGAATCTAACGAAAAGTGTATCCATTGCTACAAATTGACGTATATAAAGAAAGGAAAGCGAAATTCTGCCGGATCCTAACGCGATATGTGCCGATAAAGCGGTAATCGCTAAATAACATAAATACAAATCATGTTACAGAAGCGGAAGCGGGAAGGTTCATGTATTTTGACTGTAACACAAACAATAGATAATAAAACAATTATTGAATTCGGTTTTTGCGATACGTAAAATTATCAAGGTCTCGATAAGCGTTACCAGCCTCGCCTTCAACTTGACTGATAACGCTTACCTCAACCTTGATAATTCCGCATATCACAAAAACCTCACCCAATAATTCCGCATATCACAAAAACCTCATCCAATAATTGTTAATTATGGACATTATCATTATCATTATCATTGATGTCTAAAGACATATAGAAAGAGAAATAGTTTTCGTTAATTTGTCAAACGGAATAAGAGTTTTATTCAAAATATAATACTCTTGCTCAGGTGAAAATTTTGAACTCAATTTTATCCTTCCAACTGCAATTATTCAAATATCATTCCTTATTTAGGCAATCAGTCTTGGTCAATACTATGTCATTCCAAATGCAATGATTTGCAAAATCATCAACGCTCATATACCTTGGCAAATTGCCCCATTTCCAGTATATCCATTGTCACAAGTGCAAAAGAAAAATCCATCACGTTTGGTGCAGGTGGAGTTTGTATGACAGTTGTTAATAGATAGAGAACATTCATCAATGTCTAACGTTACATAAACAGTTACCATTAACGCTCAATAAGGTGTAAACCTTTTTACTTTTTGAAAACAATCCCATGAAGTTTTTGGATAAAGTCTTATCTTCTCCAATACTGTATTAGAGAATGTAAAAGACTTCTAGTTACCTTCACAAACAGTTCCATTTCCAGAATATCCATTGCCACAAGTGCACAAGAAAGATCCATCAGTGTTGGAGCAGTTTGA